ACACCTCCATTCAAAAAAATTTAGCAGTCCACAAATGGAAGAAGATTGAAAACCAGTGCCATAGAGAGCATCTATCTTGTTATCATTATGCCTGATTAAGGAGTGGCAAAAACTATCATGCTGCAGCTAATCAAACTTTCCATGGCACTTATGCCTTAAAACTAAGATAGGATTTGAGATTTAGCCAGTATGTACAATGTGAAAATATTCATTTTAATTTTAGTTCTTCTAATGATTTTCTTGTTTATTGTATGCAGTTTCATCAGTTTCCTTCCTGTACAGGCAACCTGCACCTCCCACTTGGTATACTAGTGGTAAGTTTGTTTTGAATAATTTTAAAGAACAAGAAAAATCTGATCTTAGGCCAGTGCTATACTACAAAGTTTTGCTAGCATAGCTATGTCATCAAGAGGTGTGAAAGGATTACACTCCCTGACCACCTTAGCAAAACCCTTAGTGTGTACTCACAAATGTCAACAGAAAAGGTCTTCTGTCAGATTGACTTATTTGATTTGGAGAGAAGGTACAATAAAACTGGTAGAAAAGCCTCTTCAATTGATGTATGTTGTGCCCCATTGCTGTGTTCTGCCATCTAACTGTAATGGCAGGAGGTCTGTTATATCAGTTCTCAACCTTTTTTGTACCAGGACCCATTTGTAAACATCCTGACCCACAGCCCCCTGGCCCTGCTGGTACCTCTCACTTCTGATCCACAGCTCCCTGGCCTGGCTGATGCCCCTCACTCCTGACCCACAGACCCTCACCCCTATGAGCCATATTGTTGCCCCTTACTCCCAACCAGCAGCTCCCTGCCTCCACCAGCTCTGCTGGAGGGGACCCCCAGCTGCCCCTGTCCTGCTTGGGCCAGAGCATGTGGCTGCAACAGCTCCGACTTATGCAGGTGGCAACAGAGCAAGTCCAGCCATGGCACAGGCTGGAGGAAGGAGAAGAGACCTGTGGCACCCTCCCTGCCCTGGGCTGGGGCTCCCATGCTGCTCTAGACAGCTTGGTCACAGCCTCACCTGCCCACTGAGTAGCATTTCCCTGCCTCACTGCCCCTGCAAGTATGGGCACTAGCCCCAGTGCTGCTGGCCCTGCCATGGAGCTCCCCGCTGCCCCTGAAGAACCCTCCTCCACCCCTTACCCACTGGTGGGGCAGGTGCCTCCCCCCTGCCCTGTTGCAGCCTCTGCACCTGATCACCCTCCCCTAGTTCTGGCAGGCAACCCCTCCCCCACACACACAGAGCCCCTTTGCACATGCACCCCCTTCCTGGACAGCCCCCAAGCCTTGGCCCTCCAAGCCCCACTCCCCATACACTTACCTGCATCCAGCTGCTGGAGCGGCTCCCAATACCCTGCCTGGTTGCATGCTGGCCGTGTACGTATGAGTACACAGATGCACGTGTGCCTGCTGTCTCTAATTGGCCCAAACAGCTCCTTGCAGGCTGGAATGCTGTCAGCTTGCAAAGGGAAACCCATGCTGTCTCATGTTTTTCTGTGACTTACGACCCTTTCAAATATTCTTGAGACCCAGTTTTGGGTTGTGACCCATGGGTTGAGAAATACTGTGTTATATAGACAAGCCTTAAGAAGAAGAAAAGAAATGGAGAGACTTAAATATTAAGCTATAAAATTAGAATCTTCTAAATAATTAATTCAGATTAAATAAAGCAACAACTGGTTTTGCTATTGGGAACTGGTTCATCGTTGTGTGAAGTGCCGTGGCAACCTCTACAGGATGGGGGTGAGCACCCAGCCCAGCATGCTTTACAGTGGGCAAGTGAGATAAAAATCAAAAAAAAAAAAAAAAGATGACAATAGAGTTCTGGCTACATAACTGAGCAGTCAGTTGCAGCAGTGGGGGAAGAAGGGACATGAGGATAAAACAGTGTGGGTCATGGAGTGCTTAGTGTCCACACATAGCACTGAACTGGTTCATGGTGGACAGGTTGAAAATAGTACTTGATTTTCTAGGTGTACTTTTGAACCATTTTAAGTAGCATTAAACCAGTTTAACAGGTTTTGGTTATTTTGGTCCTTTGTTTTTGTCTAATTTTAACCCATCGTTTCCATGAGGGAACTGGTGCATTGGCTGAGATGTACCATACTCTGGGATAGATTTGCAGGATCCGTACTTTCTGATGGTTTTGTTGTTGGGGGTGTTGATTGTTGTGTCAGCGGAGATGAATTGAAAGGTTCTACACTGATTGCTAAAACAGGTTTCTATTCTGTTTTGTAGCTGTTGATCAGTGAGGAGTTTGTTTCTGATGATGAGCTAGCTGAGGTTAGGGGGTTGTTTGAAAGCCAGGAGGAGTAAGGGGGAGCTAGAAATATCTATCTCAAGATATGATCTTTTTGAGTATAGGCCGGGGCAGGCAATTATTTTGGGTGGAGGGCCACTTAATGAGTTTTAGTGAGGCATCGAGGGCCACAAGGGTAGCCCCGCCCCTTGGCAGGTGCCACACCTCCTGGTCACCATCATGTGACTGGAAGTCCTGCCCCCTAACCTCTGATCTCTGCTGCTAGAAGTCTTTCCCCTTGCCCAGGAAGTACTCCTTTTGGGGCTGGGGACAGTTTGCTTTTACAATGTGTGTGGAGGGGCAGGGGGTGTATGGTTGGGGAAGTATGTGGTTGGGGGGATGTGTGGGGTGTGGGTATGGTGCAAGTGTGGTGTATGGGGGCATAGGAGGGGTGTGGGGGTGGGTGTATGTGTGAATGTGTGTGGGTGTGGCTGAGGTATGGGCTCTGTGGCGACTGCTGGGTGTATGTGTGTGGGTATGATATGGGTGGGGTATGTTTGGGGTATCACGTGGATTTGTGTGGGGTGTGTGGGACTGTTGAATGTGTGTGGGTATCATGAGGGGGCAGGGTGTGTGAGGGAGTGTGGGTGCATGTGTGGGGTGGTGTAGGTGTGTGTGTATGGGATGTGGGTATATGTGTGGGTGTGGGGTGTGTGTAGGGGTGTGGGTTTTGTGTGTGGTTGGGGTGTGGGGGGGTGTGTGTATGTGGGGTGGGTATGGTGGGGGTCAGGGTCTGGGTGTATGTGTGTGGGATGTGTATAGTGGGGTGTGTGGGACAGTGTTGGGTGTACATGTAGGTATGGAGTGGGGTAGGGTCTGTGAGGGGGTGTGTGTGTGTGGTGTGGGTAGGTTGGTTGTGCACCTGTGGGGGCTTCCCTCTGCCTGTTCTTTGCGATGTGGCTGAGCCCAGCCCAGCCCTGCCCCCCAGGGCTGGAGGCAGAAGGGAAGAGGATTGGCACTGCCTGCCTGGCTCCACCGCTTTGCAAAGGGCAGGAAAGCAGCTGCCACTGCTGGCAGCAATAGAAGCTGGGGCTGCGCGAAATTTCACAGCCAGTTTTGTTTTGACCATTTCAACCTCTTTCGAGGATGAAACAGCAAAATGAAAATGGAATAGATATAGTCATAACAGCCTTGAAACAAAATGAGGCAAGTCATAACATTTTGCCATTTGGACGCTGTTTCAATGTTTCGTCCATAGGCTATAATGGGGAAGAACAAAACAGCCTATAACCTTGTCATTTCTGCCTTGATTTGGATGAAACTTGCAGAAATGGTAGCTCCTTCTGAGGGCATGAAGTCTGCCAAGTCTCAAGGAGATAGGTGCAGGGGTTTGTGGGAATCTGCACCCCAAATTCTTGAAAGCAAAACACATGTCACACATATGTGTTAAGCCACAGCGGGGTCTTCAGGCCTGCTAGTCCCTGAGGAGGCCACAAAGCCTGCCAAGTTTCAAGGAGAGAGGTGCAAGGGTTTGGGGTAAACTGTACCTCAAGTTGCAGACAAGCAAAACTCGTGACATAGGTGACACTGTGTGTGTTAAAGCGCAGCAGGGTGAAAACTGCAGGCGTGATAGCCCCTGCTGACACCACGAAGCCTGCCAGCTTGCCAGCCTGCCAGCTGTCAAGGAGATAGGTGTAGGGCTTCTGGGTTCTGGGGCCCTGCACCTCTAGCTGCTGACAGGCAAAACTTATGTCATGGGTGCTTGTGTAACTGTGTCTGCCTTGGGGCATGGGGTGGGGGGTGGGGAAACGACTGCAGGTCTGGCTGCTAGGCCTTGCTGCACTCACAAAGTCTGCCAGCTGTTAAGGCCTTTATATCCTTGTCAGGGCTGAGGCCTTCCCAGCCTTGGCCCCCCTTTTTCTCTTGCTGGTTCCTGAATCCTAGGCCCATGGTGCCAGACCTGGAAGTCTAGAGTTCCAGCTTCTGTCTCCACTCTGCCCTGGACCCTCTGGCTCCAAACTCTGCCCTGCTCTGAGGCCTCTGTCCCCAAACTCTGCCTTGAGCCAAACCCCTGGCAGGGCTCTAGGTGATCACATGCCCCTTGGGATCTCGGGTCCCTATAATGGGACCTCCAAACCACCCCTTAGTCCCTTCCACAAACCACCAGGAAAAATGCAAACCAAAACATTATCCCACTGGCTCTAACTTAATTCTCCAGCATACTGGCTGTCTGAAATTCCCTATCCATACTCAGTCTCATTCTCTGCTAGCCCTTAGCTCCTTAGTGGCCTTTCTCCAGGATAGCAGGATGTCTCTCAGGCTTTTCTCTGCAAGTAGTCTGATGTAGGGCTCCTTCCCCTTCAGCTTCCAGTGCCATACTGCCCATCTCTGCTTCAGGGCCGATGTGTATATATCTCCTCAGCCCTGCCCCCTGCTGGTCACCTACCTACCTCAGCTGTCACAGGTGTTTCCTGATTCAGCTTTCTAGTTCAGCCTCAGTGTCTTACTGCTTCTGGGTCCTGCGGTGCTTTTGTGCAATCCTCCCATCCCTGATCCTGCCTCACCATTGGTTTTGTGGTGAGTGTTTACTTAGGTCACTTCCATAATCAAATCTGTCCCCAGGGGCTTGGTTGGCCAGCAGGCCCTGGGGTTTCATAGTTAGTAGGGTTGGAAGGGACCTGAGCAGATCATCAAGTCCAACCCCCTGCCATGGCAGGAAAGAGTACTGGGGTCAAACGACCCCAGCAAGGTGATTGTCTAGCCTTGTCTTAAAGACCCCCAGGGTAGGAGCCAGCACAACTTTGCTTCGAAGTTGGTTCCAGATCCTAGCCGCCCTGACAGTGAAGTAGCGCCTCCTGATATCTAACCTAAACCTACCCTCTGTTAGCTTGTGACCGTTATTCCTGGTCACTCCTGGTAGTAGTCGGTGGAACAGGGACTCCCCCAATGCCTGCTGGTCCCCTCTGATTAGTTTGTAACAGGCCGCTAGATCCCTCCTCAACCTTCTCTTGTGGAGGCTGAAGAGGTTCAGGTCCCATAGCCTCTCTTCATAGGGCCTGCCCTGCTGCCCCCTG